CAGGGGCCGTGGTGCGGCTCTTTCCAGCTGCGTGTCCCTCGTTGGTGCCGACAGCCCCACGGTCAGCGCCGTGACCCGGTGAGGAGCCGCCCCGCTGGCTGAGCTGCGGTCAGGCCGCCATGGGCACCCGTGTTCCGGCAAGACCCTCCGCCGGACCTCATCCCCCCGGGAGTCCGCACGAAGCCGGTGTGAGCCGGCCGGGAATGCTGCTCTGCCCCCGGAGCTGATCCGCGTCTGGCTTGCGCATCCCGAGGGGGTCAGCAGCGAGCAGGGCTGGTGCCTGCGGAAGTCATGGTCAGCACCTGGATGTCTCTGCTCCTGGGGGTAACGCCCTGTCCCACAGAGGCTGACGGATCGCCGCCAAGCACCCGGGTGCTGCTCACCTCTCGCAGAGCTGTCTCCGCTGTCAGCTGACGAGTTGTCAGACTGCTGACCTTGGGCTTACGAGCCTCATCGTTAACTGCCCCACCTCTCTGCTGCTTCCCCTTGCTCTGGATGGTTGGTTCTGCCTTTTGGGTGCATTTATGTTCCCTGTTTGTAGTCCTGTACTGTGTCCTCACTGCCAGTCCCTGATTATGGATGCTCTCCTGCTTCTGTAGTCCTAGTTGCAGGATCTGGTGGTTTTGTTACCTCGTTTCTTGGTCAAAATCAGCTGCTTCTGATTCCACAGCTTCAACTGCAATAGCATCTTCCAGGCTGTGGTTTTAATTACAGGCTTCCTGATTTCAAAACCCTCAGGCCACTCCATTCCTTTTGCCTTGCCCGTTAGATTTGTCGATCTTTCTGTATGTCACTTGCCACTGACTTCCGCTTTTTAATGTTATTTCAGTGCTACTGTCACATTATCTATACCCGACAGATGCTTTCCAGTCTCGGCTGAGACGCTCTGAAGGGATTCATAAAGGTGTGCTGAGAAGAGAGATGCCTCAGGCTGTGGTCAGAGATGGCTGCTGACCCTCAGGAAGAGCAGGTTGCTCCTTGCTGTGTGCTGCGGTGCCCTTTCGGGAGAGAATGGCACCCCCTCAGATCTGCCAGCAGGACAGACCGCTGCTTTCTAACCACCTTCTGCCGCAGCGCTGTGTTAAAAACATCTGCTCCTCAGTCTCAGGGCTAACCTGGGTCACCGCGAGAGAACCAGAACCACGCTGCGCATAAAACTGCCAGGACCAGAACTAGGCCGCGCGCAGTGTTACGCTTTCGCCAGTGGCTGCTGCACTCTGGGCAGCCAGCGAGCATTCCTTCCCTTCTGCTTGAGAAGGAACGTGAACTTAACACCAGGGAAGAAAAATATTTCAGCCGTCTCGCCAAGAATTATTTAGGGCACGCTCCTTCTGTTAGAGTCCTTCAAGTTTGCAAGGAATAATTAAATATTCATTTTGAGAGATGGGAGCATGAGCACTGCTCTTTAGTCATCATTTCTTAGGAGGAACCAAGATTCCAGTCTTGGCTTCACTGAATTCTTAATGTATTTAAATGTTAATTGGAGTCCTGGTGAGTGCCCTGAGCATTGAGCTACAGAAGTATTGCTCATTCTTGTCTTTTTCCTTGGCTCAATTAATATTTAATTATTCCCTGCAAATTAGAACCACCCGACAGGAACAATGGAAATTCACTTTCCCTGCGGTATTCTCCCACTTGCCTATTCACCGGAGATGAGGGACTTGCAGGTCTGAACCTTTCCGTGGAGAATGTCATGGATTTGAAACAAGGCCCCCCAGGTTTAGGATGAGTGATCATTGGGTTGGGAGCTGGGGGACAGACGCCTCATGGCACATAGAATCATAGAATCACGGAATGGGTTGGGTTGGAAGGGACCTTAAAGACCATCCAGTTCCAATCCCCTTGCCATGGGCAGGGACACCTTCCACTAGACCAGGTTGCTCAAAGCCTCATCCAGCCTGGCCTTGAAGACATCCAGGGATGGGGCATCCACAGCTTCTCTGGGCAACCTGTGCCAGTGCCTCACCACCCTCTCCATGAAGAACTTCTTCCTGATATCTAATCTAATCCTCCCCACTTTCAATTTAAACCCATTACCCCTTGTCCTGTCACTGCAGGCCCTTGTAAAAAGTCCCCCCCAGCTTCCTTGTGGCCCCCTCCAGGTTGGTAGATGATCCCTTCTGGATCAGGCCTGGTGGGGCAGAGGCAGACAGGAGTGGGAGGAGTCCTGCCGAGGCATGAACATGAGTTGAGGTTGAGGTTGCTCATCGCCGTCTGGGCTTGGCTGTGGGGTACTGGGGCCCTCCTGGGCTGCTCACAGAGGTGGTAGCTGAGTCCAGAGAAATGAAAAATGTGGACTTGGGCTCCTGAATTCCCTTTGTGAGTGTAGTCCTAAACAAACCATACTGTCAGGCTTACCTTTAAATGAAAATCTCTCCCTGTTGTGTTTGGCTTTTCTTTTTGTCGACACTGCTAGAAAGCCCTGTGTGAATACTCAGACTGCTTACTACTCTTACCTCCCAGTAACATTGCCATGAGACGAGATGTCCAAGAGGGCCAGGTTCGGTGTTTATCTCGCCTAGGAAGGCACAAGGAAGCTCTGGATATTGCAGAAAAAATGGTAAATAATGCAATCTTTCTCTGAGGCTTTGAACGTGAAAATATTGCAAATAGTTCTTTTATATGGACCATTTTCTGGAAAAATAATCTTCATGTGTATAATCCTTCATGATGTTCAGTGCTCAGATTATTTGGTAAACAGAGGGTAAGTGTCACTGCAGATATAATCACTCTTTAAAAATCAGAACACCCTGTACCACAATGAGCTCCCTGTGCAGGGAGGCTGGTAGTCCTGGAAGGGACTAAATATCATGCTCTGCCAGGCAGAATTAATGTAATGTAATAGGAATTATAAGAAAGGGGATAAATGAGTGCTTAAATTTTTCCACTATAAAAGTGATGGTTCAAAACACCCTTTTATTGCCATATACTCACTGCCAAACTGCCACCAAAAACCACAAATGGAGTTTTTCCCATTAAGGAAAACGTCCAGAGGCTCTGAAGTCTGCTAGAATTTTATTTCTCCTGTTTATTTTACATGCAAGGTGTTTATACTACAGACAAGTGCAGCTGTATAAAGCGGAGGGCAGATAAACAAATGACAGCGTTCTGGGCCGCCTTGCCTCTCAGAGCGGGACGAGGCAGCTAGAGGGGATGCCGTCAGCTTGGTCGTGCGTGACCTGTGTCACATATCATTTCAAACGAAGAGCACTGTTTTGTACCATTTAAACATTACCTTTAGCGATACCTGCATCTCCTTATTCGGGGAGACGTTTTCTTAGGCTCTGAAGGATGATTCTGTTCTGCTCTTGGTTTTCATCTATTATCTTTTGTTTCTAGAAAAACAGCGCTGCTAACACAGATCACTTAACTACAGTCCTCAACCTGCACTTTGCCATTTACCAGCGTCTGGAAAATGTAGAAAAAAAGATCACGTGCCTGCAGGAGCTGATCTGCTTACATCCTTTCAACCCGTGGTACTGGAAGTTCCTTGCCGAAGCTTATATGAGCCTTTTACAGGGTTTGTCTCCGTTAGTCGTTCTGGAAGAAGATCAGTCTCAAGAGTCTAGTGGAAGCGGTAGTGGTTTCCAAACGTCAGCTGAACGAGAGATCAGTCTGCAGCCTGACAAATCAGACGGCCAGAGAGAAGGCCCTTGGTCCAGCCCCGCTTCAGAAACAAAGAGGGAGAATGCAGTGCCTTGTGGCAGCAGCCAGGCTGTGAGAGAACTCCTCTGCACGTCAGCAGAACCGGAAAGGTCGGATGAAGGGAAACACGTGGCCTCTGAGTCCTGGGATCGGAACATGTCGAAGAAAGTTGGGATAAAGGCATGTGCTTCATTTATTAGAGCAAGGTAACCGAACGTGTTCTTAGCATAATGTTAACTTCTCCCAGCTGAGAACAGTTTACAGCCTATTTTTCCCAGTCCAAATACTTTCCATTTAAATTCCCACTGTGTTAGTTCGGGGTTGGCAGTGCAAACTTAGGCGCGTCCCGCTACCGCTTCAGATCTGAAGTGCAGAATCCACATCTGCGTGGAAAGAGTAAACCAGTGGCATGTACTGTTGAGAAGTTGGAGTTCTTTAACGACCTTGTTGTATGAACGCGTTCTGGTAATTCCATAGCAAGGGGCTGCTCTTCCCTGAACGCTCCATGGGAGCTTGGCTGTTTCCTGGCTTGGGACTGAAGGTGCGGCAGCCGAAGCGCCCCAGAGGGAAGGCCAGCCGGGTGCCACCCGTCGTCTTTGCCTGCAGCCTCCTGCTTGAGCAGAAGCGTGTTTGACAGAACACCCCGACCTGCGTAACGCGTGGGGTTGAACACTGAACTGACAGCTGATTGACAGGGCTGCAGTAAAATGCTCTTTCCTTCTCTTCCCTCTCTTCCTGAAACTCTTGCACACAACCAACATCCCCCAAACGTAATCTTTCAAAGAGAATTAGGAGCTGGTTTTGATAAAACAGTCTCGGCTTTCCACCCCCCCCTCCCCTTGCCTCTGGGCAGTGTGTTAGTCACTGAGCTACTTAAAGCTGGTTTATAAACTCGCAGCGGTGTTTTCCAAAGATACTGCATAGCTGCCCAGCTAGGGCAAGGTGTGAGAAACGTGGAAAAAGGGACAGTAGCTTTTAACTGTTCCCAGACTGAGGGACAGTGACTTGAATGGTGTGCTGGGTTCAGCCAGG